CGATTGATGGTTGTGCAAACACTTTTATTATCACTATCTTATCGTTACCATTAAAAAAATTATTGCTTTTACAAAACCGTAATAAAAAAATAAAAATAAAAAAAAAGACGATGAACCAATAGAAACCAAAAACCCATGTCAGAAATTACAGTTTCTGTTTCATCTTCGCTACAACAAAACTAGCAGACACAACTTTTCTGGATCCTTTACTATAAGTAAACAAATATTGAATGTGAAAATTTTTTAGGTTTCGCTTTTAACTTTGACGTTGAGTCATTACATCTTGTGAAGGAATAATAAATGGGATGGTTGTATTTAACGCCATATAACTGATAAATAAAGACTAGAATATGATAAGTATGGCCATTTGTAAAATTTTAGTTTTTATTCGTAGCGAAGGTTTTTTAACATAAACGCTGATTACAATTTTGAAGATCCATATTGGTAAAAAAGGGTAATGTGTTTGAACGGTTATTTTTTGTAATCCATCAATGAAAAATTTTAGCCAAACAGCGCAACTCTATGAAAAAAAAAGGATGTTTGGATCTCCATTTCTTATAAATTGGAATGAAAAGTGTTTTTGATCGGCTAAACGGTCTTCCGATAATTAAATTTTTCTCTATAACGTATTAAACTATCGCAGCTCTACATCATTCATTGGAATATTACTGCGCTTTTCAAATTACTGTGACCATCAAATGATCGCCAATCACACGGAAATCAGAAAATTTTGGCACTTTCTCATAAATAAATCTAATTAACATGTCTAGAAATCAAATTTCCGAAGATTCCCCATTATATTTAGATTCTACAGTGCTGCCTCTAGTGGTACATTAGAGCTGGTAGCTAGTTTGTTGAAATGATATCAAAATTCCCACTAACAAAAAAAAGAAAAAAAAATCTCTGGAAATTTTGATATTACTTTGTCACAATAATTACCAGATCTAGTGTACTACTAGAAGTGATGCTGGAGAATCGAAATATAATGGGGAATCTTGAGAATTTTTTGTTTCTGACATTTTAATTAGATTTATTTATGAGAAAGTGCCAAAATTTGCCAAAATTTTCGGATTTCCGTGTGATGGGCGATCATTTGATGGTCACAGTAATTTGATACAGAAAATCATTTTTTTACTAATTAAAATTTGCTTCCCGATCTATTCCGACCAATCGACTAAGGCGCTTTGAGAACACCCTAAATGTCGATGTGCCATTTATATGATACCTGAAAAATTTTAGCGTACAGTACGTACTGTACGTATAGTTCTTTTTCTGGCATCTGATTGGCTGGAACAAGCGATCGGCAAAAATTTTAGCGTACAGTACGTACGTACGTATGTACATACGTACTGTACGCGGCACATCATTACACCCATGTATACGTACAGTACGCCATCGAGAGAATGTTTTTTTTTATTAATTAAGCTGAAAACTACTTGAACTGGTATTTGTGTTCTACAGAATCGTAAGTATTTTTGTTAACTAATAGAAATTAAGTAATCATTTCTATTATTGCAAATAAAATTTTCTGACGTATCTTTGTGGATTTCTATCGCATTTTTATGTTTCACGTTAGTCGATACCTAAAAAAGGAAATTATAACAATGCTTTTGATTACATATTAACGTTAATTATTGTTATATTTCCTTTTTGGGGTTTCGACAACAGCTATATTCAAGGTTAGATGTTAGATAGTCCATCGGTCCAGTATTATTTTTATTGCAGCATTAAGTGTAATATAATATTTATTTAATAAAGGGCTGCAAATCTTCTGCATGGACAATTTTTAGCTGTTTTCTAAAATGCATAAACAACATATACCTATGTCTGAAATCGAAGAGTTTTGGAATTTAAATTAGTAAAAAACTGAAAAAGCTCAGGAAATCAGGAATATCATGAATTTTTATTATAGCAATATGTGACCGTTTACACCTTTTTGAAAACAGCTAAAATAAAAAATTATACGGACATTGTATTTTTAATGATGATTTATTCAGAGATCGGAGCTAACGTGATCTGTCCTATATTTTTTTTGTGATTTTACACTATATCGATTATAGAAAAATTACATCTAGGGAAAATTTTGAGAACACCTTTAATCTGCACGCGTTTCAAGTTTTTCTTGTGAAACCATGTGACTTTGGTTCCGAGATCTTTCTGTGAAACTGTGCAGATCTTGCAATTAGCGTTTGTTAAATTTTAACCTACGTACGTACGTACGTCATTTCGATTAAATATTCACATGAAGGCATATGGGCGGAAATTTTTAGTAGAGTGCTGTGACTATATAAAATTAGGTGATTGTACTCATAAAAACTGATAAGTAACGGGTCAATTTTGATAAGTAATGGATCAATTTTGGATCATTATGGGTTATTTTTAGCTAATCTGTTCGGTATACTGCTCATAAAAACTGATAAGTAACAGATAAGTAACTCATAAGCAGTTTACAATCACTGACAAATAATTACTTTTAATATTAGTAATCACACTGTATCATATATATTATTGGTTTAAATCCTATTTAATCTCATCATTCAACTTAAATAATCACAAACTAGTCACAAAATTGAAGATTTCCGCCCATATGGTTCACCAAAGTAAATGCGTACGATAAAACACAAAGATAAAAGTCAAGAGATCGAATAAATCTACAAAGCGCATGTTTGAAAATCACTTTTTATTTTTTCTTCTATTGATTTTTATTTGTATTAGTCCCAAATTCCACAAGTCGCTATTATGAAGACAAAATGGTAGCATCCGAGATACAAAAGGTTCAACAAAAAATTAAATGGTTGGAAAAAAGGCGGTCTAAAAATGTCGAGTGGTCATTTTTATTATGCAATCATCCATATTTAACCCTGAAATTAAATAAATATTAATTTATACGAGCTATTTCCAATAAATTTCAATCAAACTTAATATCACATGAACATATCCCTATAAAAAAGGTTTGTGTAATATGTCTAAAAATATGTTATATTATCTGATATTTGTTTTATTTAATATAAAACAAAGATCAGACAAAAATTAGACAAAATGGCACAGTTTTTACACATGCAGTGCAAATATAAACAATTTTTATACAAACCTTTTTATCAGGCATGTCCTTATGTTTATCATCTGTTGAATCAAATACGTCCATATGTAATATTCTAATAATTTTGCTAATAGTCACAGGTTTAAAATCCAACTTTAATAATTTATGAGACATTATGATCTGCTTCGAATATATAAATGTCAGGAAAAAAAAAAATAGAAAAAAATAGATCGAATTATTGGTGAAAGCAATGTTTTTTGATCTATTTAAAAATCGAAATGAACCATGGTATATAAAATGCATTCGACGTTGCTATATAATTTTTACTCTATTAGTGATAGTTTACGTAGCTGTTTTATTATATGATAACTTGAAAAAAGAAAAGCCTTATATAAGTACCACTTATCGTCAAGATAATAACGTGCCTGCACCACGTTCGTAACTATTTTAATATGTCTGCCTCGATAATCACATAATCAAAACCTAGCAATTTTAAATTTTGTTTTCTAATAATTAATCAATTTAGATATTTATTTCTCTTATAATAGAAATTTTACCATTGATTGTATTCTTAACGCTTATTATAATAGTAAGTAGATTTTTATAATATTTATAGATTATAATTTACTATATAACTCTTAATGTTCATGCAAACAACAATTCTGAAGTATTTATATATTGAATCACTAAAATATTCAAGGGGAAATTACAAATAAGGGCTCAAAAATGAAAAAATTACAAATACGGGCCCAAAACCAAAATTATTCATATAGGGCCCAAAAATTACAAATAAGTGCCTATCCGGTCTCCGAGCCAAGTGCAAGTTATGTTACTTGGTCACACAGATTCGGGTCACGTGACCGTGCAACGATGTGGACCAATAAAATTTAACTTAAATCTGGTTTAAGTGAATCCGAAGGATAAGTTGAACCAAATTCTGGTTAAAGTGAACCCGAAATAGACGTTTGGTTTAAGTTAGCCCAATTCGGAATTTTATTGACCAACCGATTTCGAATAAACGCAAGTCACGTGACTTGCACCTGGCTCGGAGACTGGATAGGCCTTTATTTGTAATAATTTTAATTTTTGGGCCCCTATATGTAATAATTTTGGGTTTGGGCCAGCATTTGTAATTTTTTCATTTTTGAGCCCTTATTTGTAATCCCACCAATATTCAAATTAGAATTTTTTATGTCATTCTTTTTTGAAATTTTAAAGTACTAATATTTGCACTCTATATTTTCTGGCCAATTCAGGCGAGTCTTGTGATGAATATGTTATGCAACCAAGTTACTGTTCAGGTCAGGATATGGATATTTGTGATAGTGAACGTCCTCTTACTGGAAAATTTTCGCCAAAAGGCAATATCTTATTATCTTATCAAGCCCAACATTCAAATAACTATTATTGGTAATGATCGTCCGACATCAAATAAATTTACCTTTGGAATGTATGAATATGATTCAGGCAAGTTTTATACCATTGAAGCACAATCATTCCTGCATTTAAATCAATGGAAACTAATTAAAAAATAAATAGAACATGATCCTTGGAGCAAAAAATCCGATGATAAATTTAATGAAGAATTTTCTCAATCACTTAACTTTACAAACCTTTATTATTTAAATCCACGTTATGTAAGAGTCAATTTAAAAAGCAATTAATTTTAAATTATAAAAAATGCTATTAATAAAAGAACAAAAATTCAAATCCATTACAGGAACATGTCCAATTTCTGTAGCTGGCTATTATGTTTTTATGTATTCCAGAAAAGTCAGGAAAACGTTAGATAGCAATAAAAAAAATTATATTCTTAGTTACAATAATACCTATACTTCGCAATATTATATTGAATCAAGTATACGTAAGGATATATATCAAAAAGGGGTTTAAATATCAGATTATAATTAAGGTTTTCAAATACTAATGACCTCCTCATAATCCGGTTTAATTACTATAGAATCTGCACCGCTGAGTTATAATCCACCAAATAATATAATTGTAGAAGTTAGTATACCACACCGTATTATAGAAGAGAATACTGAGCAAAGGTAAATTTAATTTGTTAATTTTATTGGTTATTGCCTGTTGTTTATGCGGCGTATTTAATTTATATATAATATAAAATAGAAACAGTCATATATGTAAATTTTTGATTCTTTTATTGATAAATTATAACTATTAATAATTCGTATATATATTATTTGAATAAATAGATTTTAGACATTATAGGTAATATTATTGCTTATTATGGTGGAGGTGTTGCTATTTACCATTTTTTATTCGGTAAGATACTTATTTTTGCTATTAAACAAATAAAAATTTTAATAACATATTTTTAAATAATAGAAGGGGAGTTTTATCAACAGGTATTGTATTTAGGAGAATTAGGAATAAATTCTTATCATCTGGTAAAAAATTACTTGATTGGTTTAAGAAGTGGAGGTGAATATTTACCAATAAGTCAAGAAATAGAATTAGAAAACGATGTATAATTGCTTTTATATTCTTGCAATTATATGTACTATTTATTTTTAGTACAAATGAAACTGCTATAATTAATGCCTAGTGATTTACTTGAATTTACAATTTCCTCTATTTCTAATTATTTACTTACCAATATTTAATTAAACAATTAATTGGTATTTTTGTTACTACGCTATTTGCTCCTATTTCAATTAATTCATTATTTATTCACACTCATATTACCATAACACTTATTAATTTGATCTCAAATGACATTTAATTTGCAAGTAGTGTTCCGAATCGAGCTGCTCAATTAGGCTCGTCGGAATTAGTGGTTGGCTCGATTTTGGCTTGAAAGGCTTGCGAGCCAGTAGTACAAATACATTTTCCACTATTAATGCTTAATAGCAGTGATAAAGGAAAGTATCGTATGATGTAAATTAATCGTGAAAACTACTACATAATTTGTGCCACCGGCTCGCAAGCCTTTCAAGCCAAAATCGAGCCAACCCTAGTTCCGATGAGCTTAATTGAACTGGCTCGATTCGGAACACTATTTGCAAGTAATTGTTTATAAGTGCCATTACCTAATAAAATTGTTCCAAAAATTTGAAACGCAAATGTTACTTTTAATAATCTAATCTTATTACATAATTCCAACATATTGCTACAATTTACTCTAGTTTTTCAAAGATAACTAACCATATAAATATCTTCCTATTACAGTCACTCAATTAAAATTTTTATTGCCATATTGTCTGGATGGAGCTAATCTTTTGACAATTATTATTATTTTCAAAATTTATTTATCGAGCCTTACAAATTGATCTTTTCGATCTCATAAATTCGTTTTTTTTTAAAAAAATCGTAATATACAGAATTCATATAATTCAAAAATTCTTTGTCGCACTTTTGTATATTACCATTGCTTAACAGTTAATGAGTAAAATGCAGAATTCATTTGCCATAATCTTCCGTAAAATGTGAAAACTTTTTAATGTATTATTATTTTTGAAAAGTTTTGAAATTAAATTACGCAATAGATTATAGTTACAAAAAACTTCTCAATTTTTACTTTGAATTTTTACTTATGCATTACGTTTTGAATGAATATATTAGTTATTAAACAGACGTTACAAAAAATTTATCTCCATTTTTTCAATTTTTCTAAGTTTTTTTTTTTTACATCCAAATTGTGCCAGAAAAAAGACGACTGCCAACCCAATTTTCTAATTCCTTGTTATGCAAAAAAAGATTAACTTTGCGTAACCTTTAATTATGAATATAAATAATTCTATTAATTTAAAGTAGATTCTTTTTTTAAAAAAAAAATCCGACCGACTACCCGACCCAAATTTCAGATTTCATGTAATGTAAACGAAAAATTAACTTTGCATGGCCTTATAGATCGTATCTCAAATAACTAAGTAGTTGAGTTTGAACACACATAATTTTTTCTCTTGATTTAATTCGTGCGTAATTTATTTATAACAATTTCAAATAGCCTTTATTGAGCTAAATGAAATATACAATAAATTTTGATATAAAATTAACTATACATCAAAACTTCGATAATAATTATAAGAAAAAATCAACATTTACAATTGTCTTTGGCGCAGGCACAATTAGACCCACAGCTACAAGTACTATTTATATTGAAAATGAAGTTAATATGTAGGTATTCGTTCGATTCAAATTTTACCGAAAAAAAAAATGAAAAAAGTTAATTACCTAACACCACGAGAGGCAGTTTCTTTTTGCGTACAGTTGCAAATCAAACCACATTTACAATTTGAACCACATGGACAATCCTCGCACATTTTTCAGTATACTTTGTAGTACGTAAATGAGTAGATATTGTGTTAATATTCTTTTGATAATTGTTTGATTTGTGATATTTTATTTTTTTTATGTGGGAAATCTTTAGGTGGTGTATCGGTGGTGTGTTTATATTGAAAATTTATATATCAAGATAGTTCTAGTTATTATTGCTCAATCAGATGACTTTATTTGGACGGAGAAAACCATATTGAGATTCCGCTCGCTATCAATTATAAACACTAATATCATACATGTTAGAGTATCTAGACTAGTGATTGGGCCCGTCAAAAAAAACGTCACCCGGGTAGAACCCGGGTGGGTTAAAAAAAAACGGGTGGACTCATAAGCCACCCGGGTGGCAGGGACATGGAAAACGTGCGATTTTATTTATAGGAATTTCTGTCCCTGTCTGGTAAAAATAGATGTCCCCCGGCTATTACGCATATTTGTGTATACAAATATATTTCTAAGCATATAATAGTCATGTCGTTTGTTTTAAATGTCTCTAACATTAAAAATAAAATAGTAATTTTTTTTTTTTTTGGATCGGGTAGAAATTTCATTGTTTATTATTCTTGATATGTTAAAAATGTAAAAGTGATACTTGAGCGACCTTTATCAATGGTAAGTTTTTGAAAGAAAAAAGATGGGTTGTATCTTTCTGGCTTTTTCCATATCGGCGGGTTTTCGGAATTGGGTTTACATTGGTTTGTAAAACGAACCCATATGTATATAAAAATAATTTGAGTAATTAACAATAGCGCTACATTTGTATTGTTATTGCTATTTGCTCCTTAAATTATTTTTATATAACTTACATACGTAATAAAAAATTTACCCAATTCCGAAATCCGCCGATATGCATCGAAATGATAACGTTTAAAATTTTACCTCCGATCCATTGAGTGCGTGCTTGAGAACACCCTTAGTCTATATTCTGTCGGTTACGGTCGGTTATCGGTCGGCTATTGTCGGTGTTACGATCGGTGGGAGAGCTTATAGGGTCTTGGACCAATTTAGCTTCGATCGTGAACAAATAGTGGTTAAGGTTAAATGGTTTAAATCGATAACCTAACACACATAATTACAGGTTAAGGTTTCTCTTTATTAACATAAATCAATACATCGGAATATTACCATAAACTAAAAATACTATTCACTATTCAATAACTGTTCGCAGACTGAAACCACATCCTTATATATGGGTCCTCGTTATCCCCAACTATGCCACAAACTATACCAAAATAAGAAGTACATAAAAATGATAGAATAATATCGATATGACATTAACTAAAAATGAAATTTTGGGCTAACACCGGCTAGCCGGTCATAGTCGACTAAATAGTCGGTTATAGCCGATAAATTATATATTGGTTTATATTTTTGCTATAGGAGGCTATTTGGACTCATCAAGCGTTGTCAAAACAATCTAATTCTGGTAAAATTGCAGATCATTCAGCCCAAAAATCCCGGGATTTTCCAGGCCAATGATCTGCAATTTTGACCAGAATTAGATTGTTTTGACTTATACCCTATAAGAAATTTTATCCGAATATCTTCATTATTTTTCCATATTTTTTGTAAAAACTCCGTGAATCTGCAACATGATCGACAAAATCTAGACAAGCCGAATAATCTCCATGATTTAAGATTATAAATTCCGTGAATATGCAAAATTTACGGAAAAAACATGGAATATAAAACACGGATCGACTTTTATTATAGGGATACAAAAATTGAATCTTGATTGGACTGCATTACCTGATCAAATTGCAGATAATTTGACCAGATTTAAAATTGGTTTGTTCTAGATGATCTTCAAATTTGACTAGAATTATGAATGATGTGTTCCTCTATTTATCAAATGGTGTAGATCCGCTGACATAGTCTCATGTTGAATTAAATATTATTTGCCAGAATATTAAAAATCTGGCATCGACTACAATTTTAGCCGGTCAGCTAAGCTATCGGTCAGCTAAATATCGACTACGACTAATAGTCGACTATTAGTGATGTGAATGGCTCGGCTCGGCTTGGCTCACGGCTAATATTTACTAAGGTGAGCCGATCCTTTGGCTCTGCAACCAGAGCTGAGTCATTTATAAGCCAATCAACCTCGAGCCAAGC